CTACAAGTTCACTAGCAATCAAAAGGAAAATACAAATGAGCAATGTTTTAAATTCATAAAATCCTAATGCTAATATATATATAGTGACTTATGATATATATGTATATATACTTCATATCATTTCTATTAACAATTTGTAACAATAAATGATTTTGGCCGTCAAATATACAACTCAGTGAGTTCGTCTCAATAAATAACATCGTACTATAAAAAAGAAAATATGTATGGTATTGCTTGAAAAAATAAATTTGACTTCGAAATTTCGAAACAGATGGTCCTCGACCATCTTTTTCTGAGAGACCGGGAAGAAGCTCGAGGCGCCCCACCTCGAGACGGAGAACTCCCGCTGCAGTTCATCACGGAAAAAAAGATGGCAGCAGCGGCGCGAAAGATGGCAGCTAAGAACATCGCCTCATATTTAAAAGGAATATGGAGAAGTAGCCAGGACTTCGAATATAAAATTTTTTGAGAAAGTTTTTGAGATATTAGAGAATTAAAAAATACAGTAAATCCTACGTATATTATAATATTGTAAACATTATATAGACTAATATAATGTTAAAAATTCGAGAAATCCTAACATTTCGTCTTCTAATCCTATCACGGTTTAATAGAATGGCGAAGAAAGTTGTACAGCAATATAAGGAATAATTGTAAAGTATTTAGAAGAGATAGGCTGTTGTCTTATGTTAAACAAAATTGATCAGCAGGAGGGACAATTTAATCTGAGCTCTCAAAAATCATTCTACAAATCTATTTTATATTTTATATTATTTCTGGCACATTGAATGCCACATCATTGTGTTTGCTTGATTGCAATAGATATCCGTACTATTTTTTAACATGAAATTCAATCTCTTTAATGAATGGTTCGTTACGAAAAAAACTTCCCCAGATCAAATGATTGGAAATGATTATTCAGATAATTAAATTTCGAAGATCGACACAGACAAAAGTCGATTATTTCCACTTTAAAATAATTCATGCAGAAAATATAAATAGACTGCAAACTTTTCTCAAAAAATAAACAATAAGAAAAATGAGAATGTTAAAAAATGCTTTGTATGTACGATATAAGAAAAATCGTGAAGTTAAATGGCGATAACATCGTATGCAGGATATTCTAAACGAAATTTTAAGAAGGGGCATTGGACCCTGCTTAGCTAGGTTTAATGATTCGACAATTTCTTAGTTGAATGCCATGTGGCTTATATTCTTTATGAATGTGTTCAGAATCACCGTGGTTAATAACTTTATCGAGACGAGTCTCCTTTGAAAAGCTACTGTGTCTTTTCTAAAGATCGGTGCCAGTATCTCACCGTTTCATAACGAGCTTGGTAAAATTGTACAAATTGATGAAAAGTTTGGGAAAAGGAATTGGAAATCGATCAAAACTCGAATTGAAATGGGAAATTAGGAATTGTAGACAACGAAAAAAATTGTACGTTGAAACATTGTACGTTGCATTCGTCATGAAGGAACACAATATATATATATATATATATTATAAAAAATATATATTATATAATATATATTTATAATATAAATAAATATAATGAATATAATATAATAACAATATATAAATAAATATAATAAAAATAAATATAAATAAATATATAATATATATTATAAATATTATATATAAATATATATTATAAAAAAGTATAATCGAGTTGCGTCAAGTTATGGCGGAGTGCTTGAAAGGAATGGATGATGGGCTCGTTTCTCAGAAAAGTTTCTATGTGTCATGTTCTTAGTCAAAGTAGAGAAATTAGAAGTAAAGAAAATCGTCGAAACGTCAATAAACAAAATTATACACTAGAAATGCTATTACAGTTAAAAAAGACGACTGAAGAAAACACTTGAGCAATCTGACGTACCCAGTACAAGCTGAAATAAGCAGAAATATCATTAACGAGTATACAAAGATATTATTATAACTACGTCCACTTTCACATTACGATATTTCGAAATACGTACAACGATAATCGTCACGCTGAGTTCATAGGTCTAGGGTTTTTCAGAATGAATTTCTTCATTCTCACTTGGTAATTCGCGATATACTTCTTCCAATTCATATCTTGTAGATCTAATTTCACGACATTATCGTCTTCCAACGTCGTGAGAGTAGATTTACAAGATATGGATTTTTTCACCTTCGTCATAATTCCAGTAATGCTACATCTGTAGAAAGTCCATTCTTTTGTGTCAAAGTATTGAATCGCTATAACCATGTCACTGCGGTACTTGTCAATTTTCATCATCTTAAAATGCCATTTTTAAATATTATTATTGTAAATGAAACAGGGTTTATTGTAGAAAATATTGTTTTAACAGACGGTTGCTCGTTCTTCGTTAAACAACAGAATATTCACTTTGGCTTCTTACCTTGAAGTTTTAAAAGAGCATCCATGATGAATTCAGGCAAAACATGAAGAAATGAATATATTCAGAACACTCTAAACAAATTTGTTGGTCAGTATGCAAAACGGATACCACATCGTTCATTGGTGTTTTTTATGCAACATTCCAGGTGGATATCACTCAGCTGACCGCATCTTACACAAAACAAAACAGTTGATTATTTAATTATATTCGATATAGAGAATAGTTATCATAATGCGAATTATTAAATATAATTTTCTATGTTTCTATTCTTTTAAACCGCGAACGTGGGTGAATGTGAGCACAAAATATTTTGTGCGAATGCAACAACTGATATTGCAAACGAATTTAACACTTCTGTAATTAATACAGTTTATTGGAATAAATCAATTCTATAAACACATATCCGAAAAATATTTCGCTGTTCTCACTATCTAAATTTTCCTGTTACATGCGTATTCTTTTGTATTTTTTAAATACGATGATATTTCTTTCACCGCATGCCGCAAATAAAAGAAATCTTCTAATTTCACAATCAAATTATATTTAATAATTCTGTAATGAATATTACTCGAAAAGGGCGTACAGTTTAGGTTTATTTTCACGAGGAAGGCTGACATGCCATGCGGCACATACTATCGTGTCGACCAGCTCTTTCTATCTTTCTATTTGGAAATAATTTACCAGCGATACTTTATATCCTCATGTATTTGAACTT